AAATGGGATGCATGGAATACCCTTGGCACCCTGCCAAAGGTGAATTTACTAGTTCCTGTGCTTTTATTTGCTGTATTTCTAAAGAAGTTTGGTGCTTCTCATTAATCTATTATAAATGGAGCCTTTGAGGTCTTGATGTGCCTCTATTCTTCATTGCAAGGTGCTATTTATTAGCATAGTAACTTTCTCAAAGCACTTATTCGTTGACCATGGGCTAAGGCTGTTTGTCATCTTCCCATCAGGAAACTGCTCGGCAGAACTATGTGGATTTGGTGTCCAGTTTGAGTTCTTCACTGGAATCCTCTAGTCAGGTGGAGCCTGGAACAGACAGGAAATCAACTGCATATGAAACTCTGATGGTGACCTCCGAAGATGGCATCACAAAGATCACATTAAATCGGCCCGCAAAGAAAAATGCCATAAACATTGAGGTAATATCACCTGCCCTTGGAGTTTGTCCTGTTTTTCTTTTCTTCTTCTATGTGTTTCATGCAAAAACTGTAGAGTTTCAACGTCATTCCTATTTTATCGTATCACTTGTTTGTTTTCTGCAGGAAGGTTGGTAATTGTGGCTACGTCATACAACAGAGTTGAGTATTCATTGTTTGTAGTTTGTGAACTTCGGGTAGGTTCTGATATACCCAAAAGGCACTGTGACTTTCCTAATAATGGAAGCACAAATAAATTAATATAAATGAAACATGTTGCTATGAGAGAATTTGCATAGAAGCCCTCTAAGGTTGACGTAGACTGCTCCCAGAAGTATCTTCATGTCACTTAGACTAGAAAGTAGGTCTACGTGTGTGGGGGCTTCATGTTTTATTAGTAGAGGGAGAAAGGGAAGAAGGACTTCATCTTAAATAAATCATAACCCAACTCTGCTTTAAAGTAGCTGCTTCACTTGGCAACTTTAGAATTTAAATCCCTCATTGAATTAGAATGATAATAACCACTTTAGCCCCTTCTCCTTGAAAAAAAAAGGATAGAGAATTGGATGCTTGGTGCCCAACTGGCACTAAAATTTGAGAGGACAGTGACCATTGGGTTAATAATCTCCACTGTGAGGCCGGGTGCGGTGGCTTACACCTGTAATCCCAGCACTTTGGGAGGCTGAAGCAGGCGGATCACCTGAGTTTGGGAGTTTGAGACCAGCCTGACCAACATGGAGAAACCCTATGTCTACTAAAAATACAAAATGAGCTGGGCATGGTGACACATGCCTATAGTCCCAGCTACTTGGGAGGCTGATGCAGGAGAATCACTTGAACCCAGGAGACAGAGGTTGCAGTGAGCTGAGATCGTACATTGCACTCCAGCCTGGGCAACAGGAGGGAAACTCAGTCTCAAATAATCATCATCACCATCTCCACTGTGGCAGAAAGAGCATACTCACTTTAAAATCATCTTCAGAATTTCATGAAGTGTGATATGTGTCATTCAACTAATAAAGCATTTAATTCTCAAACTTTGTTTCCACTTTCCCCTGACTCATTTCTCTACAAACATGGTAATAATAGCTACTCTGTACAGAGTGCCTCATGAGTGCCAGCGCTCTCCACACAGAGGTTTATTTAATTCTCAGAAGGAGCCTATTGTTGTCATTACTCAACAATTAAATAGTTTAAGAAGTAACTTGCTCAACTTTACATAACAAACAAACAGCAAAACCTAAATTGAAACCCTGATAGCCAGGCATGGTGGCTCACACCTGTAATCCCAGCAATTTGGAGGCCAAGGTGGGCAGATCACTTGAGGTCAGGAGTTCAAGACCAGCCTGGCCAATATGGGGAAACCCTGTCTATACTAAAAACACAAAAAATTAGCTAGGCGTGGTGGTACACACATGTAGTCACAGCTACTCAGGAGGCTGGGACAGGAGGTGGAGGTGAGCCAAGATCATGCCATTCCACTCTAGCCTGGATCTTGCAGCAAGACTCCATCTCAAAAAAAAAAGTAAAGAAACCCTGATAATCCATCTCCTAATCCTGGTCTCACCAGTCGCCCTGCTGTGTTGTGTTATCATAACTATAATAATGGTGGAATGAGTTCCTTGTGACTTCCCTCAAGAGAAATGCTTAGATGCTTATTCATATACAGTCATCCCTCTGTATCCAATGGGAATTGGTTCCAGGACCTCCTTATGGACAGCAAAATCCTTGGAACCTGAAGTCCTTCATAAAAAGGCATAATATTTACATATAACCTCTCTATAAACTCCCATATACTTTAAATTATCTCTAGAGTAATAATACTGAACACAATGTAAATGCTATGTTAAATAGTTGTTATAGTGTATTATTTAGGGACTAATGATAAGAAAAAAAGTCAGTACATGTTCAGTGCAGATACAGAATTCTTTTCCAGATTTTTTTGATCTGTGATTGGTAGAATCCATGGATATAGAACCCATGGATACAGAGGGCCAGCTGTTTTATGTAAAGCCCATGTTTGTTTTCCAGTATATTTGTATCTATAAGTATCGGCCCTCTTCATCATTCTTCCCACATTGAAATCTCATCTAAGGTTGAAATTGCACCTGTTTTAAGTGCATTAAAAGCTATATAGCTGCATATCCAAGGTTTTCAGAAGTGTTGCTGATTTAAAATTTTGAGGTGCCTTCCTTGAATAGCATTGCAGTATCTTGAAAAGTCCAGCCTTTTGGCAGTCACTAGCAGTTCCCAGACTGCCAGGGACTTCCTTGAGGTCACAATAGAGATGTTGTTTTATGGAAAGTTCTCTCTGACCACCTCCCAGTCTGCCCACCCTAGATAAGCCTCAGCACCTCCTCTGAGTTCCCTGCTGCTTCCTACTTTCCATCCCCCACCTCATTTGAACACTGTTGTCCTCTGTTAATTCCAAAAGCTCAAGGACTATGTCTTTCTTGTTCCCTTTTGGAAAAAAAGTGGTTTATAGTTGCCAGCTCCTACCATAGCACCAGGTACATAGCATGCACCAAGTAATTGTAAAAGGAATGAAAATTATTTTTGGTGTATTGGTCCACCGTTTTGGTTATAAAATACAACCAAAATAATGTTGTATTTTAGGCTTGCCACCTAACGTTTAGTGAGTCCATTGGTTGATGATTCCTGTGTTCAGAGTTCTTTTCTTTGACTTCCCGTTATACAGATGTATCATGAAATTATGCGTGCACTTAAAGCCGCAAGCAAGGATGACTCATCCATCACGGTTTTAACAGGTGAGACATTTTCTCAGACGTCCTAATTAAATTTCTATTTTGAGGAGGTCTCTTAATAGATAGGAAATTGAGTTTAAAAGCTCCAAGATTGGGAGGACACGGCAGGCAGATCACAAGGTCAGGAGTTCGAGACCAGCCTGACCAACATGGTGAAACCCCATCTCTACTAAAAATACAAAAATTAGCTGGGTGTGGTGGCACACACCTGTAATCAGAGCTACTCAGGAGGCTGAGGCAGGAGAATTGCTTGAACCTGGAAGGTGGAGGTTGCAGTGAGCCAAGACTGTGCCTCTCTACTCTACCCTGGGTGACAGAGTGAGACTTTGTCTCAAAAAAAAATTTTTTTTCCAGTGCTGTCATACTCCAATTTATAAATATACAAAACATATGAGAAACACAGATATCCACTCCTTTGCAATTACCCAACATAAATTAAAATACATATATTCACAAAAAGACTCTCATAGGGGGCCAGGTGTGGTGGCTCACGCCTGTAATCCAAGCACTTTGGAGGCCAAGGCAGGCAGATCACCTGAGGTCGGGAGTTTAAGACCAGCCTGACCAACATGGTGAAACCCCATCTTAAAATAAATAAATAAATAAATAAAAAAGACTTTCATAGGAGCAGTCGTGGTAACCTGGTTTATAGTTGCCAAAACCAGAAAACAACTCAAATGTTCAATAACACATAGATTCCAAAAGTAATTGCTATTAAAAAAAAATTAAAAAACACATGTATGAATAAATTAATTGTTGACTATTTATACAATGGAATACTCAGCAATACAATGGAATAAATGATACAAGAATATGGATGCATCTTTAAAACACAGTTCAGCAAAATAAAGACAGGAGTGTACATATTCTATAAGTCTATTCATAGAAAGTTCTACAGTAGGCAAAAGTTCTTATCGTGGAAATTGAAGTCAGAAGGTGATTGCCTTGGGGCAGGTGGAATGGTATGGCTACAAAGGAGCCTACGGGAAACCTCAAGAGTGATGGAGATGTTCTGTGTCTTGTTTTGGATGGTGATCTTCTGGGCATTTAAAATTATCAAAATTCATCTAAATGAACATTTAGGAGCTGGTTGTTTTATTGTATATAAATTATTCTTTAAACACACACACACACATATTCAGATACACACTTTCAGTGGCTCTTCAAATAAAGAAAAAACTTCCTCGTGGGATCTACAAAGCCCCATCAGGTCTAATCTGCTGGTGCTTATCCTGTACCAACTCACCCCTGGCTTTCTCCAAGTCAGCCACAATGGCTCTTATTTCATCTACACTGGGGATAAACTCTCCAAAGAGCCTTTGCACAGGCTGTTCCTTGGTGTGAACTGTTCTTCCCAGCCCTCTTTTTTCTAGCCAACCTGGACTCTCCTTCAGATCTCAATTCAGTTGTCCATTCCTTAGGAAAATCCCCTCCTGAACTCCCTGATTAGACCAACCCCCACCTCCGGTACATACCCTCATTTGATGATGCACCTCTCCTCTGTTTCAGCAGTTGCATTAGCTACATTTATCTGTGTGTTTTTATAGATCAGTGTCCAGCATACTCACTAGTTTGTAAGTTAGGGCAAGAACCATCGCTGGTTCTCCAGTGTATTTCCCATGCCTAATCATAGAGCTTGACATGCAGTAGATACTCAAGAATTATAGAATGAATAAATGAGGGATCTGTTGATTTTATTATTTATAGGAAATGGGGACTATTACAGTAGTGGGAACGATCTGACTAACTTCACTGATATTCCCCCTGGTGGAGTAGAGGAGAAAGCTAAAAATAGTGCCATTTTACTGAGGTAAGAGTAATTGACATTTGTCTGATCCCAGAGGGCCCACTCTTAGTCATCAAAGTGGAATATAGTTGAGCAGAAGTGAAATATCTACTTCTCTGTGTCGATCCAATTAATTGTGACTTTGGACAAGCGTATTTCTCCAAACTGCCTGCATCCATAGGTGGGCATTCATTCTCTCTCTTTGACCTCTGTTACCTTTTCATCCTGCTGGTCTCATGAGATTTGACTGGAAAACATAAAAGTTAGCTATAGTTGTAAACAAAATTATCTTGCTTTGAAACAGAGGAATTTAGCAAATTCTCATCCAGCCAGAGGAACGGACCGTTGCCATGAATGCTGAAAGTAGGAGACTTGGAGGAACCTTATAAAGCACGGGAAAAGGTCATGAAGGCTTTATTCCTGCCACATCTGTAATCCCCACTTGCTATGATATTCCAGTGTATGCTCAGTTACCCACCCTAATCTCTAAAACTGCGGCTGGTTTCCAGCCCAAACTTACTGCCAAGAATACAAGATTTGACCCAGGATTGATGCGTAGGTCTCACTGCTTGGTTTTTCATCCACTGCCGTTCAAATGGATGTCCTGGATGAATCTGGTGGGGAAAAGCAGGGAAGTGGCAGGACAGGGAGGCATTGCCTGTGGTGGCTGTGGAAATGCCCAGCCTGCCAGAAGCCTTTGTTATCTCAGAGTCAGACTGCCTTGCCCATGCTTCAGTCATGCTGCTTTGGCACATTTAATGATTTTGTGTTTCCATTTCTCTAGGGAATTTGTGGGCTGTTTTATAGATTTTCCTAAGCCTCTGATTGCGATGGTCAATGGTCCAGCTGTCGGCATCTCTGTGACCATCCTCGGGCTATTTGATGCTGTGTATGCATCTGACAGGGTAAGTCAGCTCCCAGAAAGCAAGAGGTCAACCAAGCAGAGTGAGCCGAGAGCCTTTGAATCCTCCTTCAGCATTGCCAGTCATAAGCAGATTACATGTGGTTTGCAGTGAAATTACTGAATTTAGATTTTTCTCAAAGTGTTAGTCTAATTTGACTGATTTTATTTTTCCTTCATTATTAACTTGCATTTTATTGTGAACACTGTTCCAACTCTGATTGTTCCAGATTCTAATCAAATTCTGCAATAGGTATTCAGTTTTCATATCACTCTGAAATACTCAGGAGACACTTGAAAATGTGTTATGGGACGGAGGAACAGCATATTTGCAGGTTGTGCAAGTGGAGATTATTTGATCCTTTTTTCTAAGTAAATGGATTAGAATTTTAGAATAAGAAGGAACTGTGAGCATTATCTACTCTCACTCCCTCCTTTGCAGATAAGAAAACTGAAGCTCTGAGAAGTTCCTCGCCCGGAACACAATTCAGCCTTGTGTTCACCATTGCATTATATAGATTTTAGTTTTTATTTTTACTGTAGTAGTAATATATATGTCATAATGCAAAATAAAATTTTGAAAGATATGAAAAAGTACCAAGAAAAGCTGCAAGGTAAAAATCACTCCTTACCACCTAGAGATAACCAGTCCTAACATTTGTGTTATTAACTTACCTTGTGTAACCAGTTCCTGACTGCTGGAACCCTAGGCTGTTTCCAGTTTTTATCATTACAAGCACCTAATAACCACCTTTAGGGTTATCAGATTGTTCAAGTGACTTATGCTTACGTGATGGTAAAATGTGCTGATTACAGTCTTCTAGGAAACATAGGCTTTTTACCACTGAAGAGATTTCTAGTTTTGTTCAGAGATATTTTCCCCACCAATAGACAGGACCATATTTTAGCGTCCTTAATTCTTTGAATTTTCTTTTGCTGGATTCCACTGAACCAGATTGGATGCACTGACAGACCTAATTCTTATGACTAGTTTTCCCATAAAAATAGCAAATGAGATTCTAGGTGCCAGGCTGCCCAACCTTTGTAGATGGAGGTCTCTGTTCAAAGGCAGAAATCAGTGTCTTTGTTCACATTCTGTGTGTTAAATGACTGATTAAGCATTGACCTGCTTTTAACAGGGTCTGGGTCAATGGTTCCTGACCTAAAATTGGGGATATTCTTTAATACTTGGAGGGCAAATATTATATTTGAATCTTGTCTGATTCTCCCACTGAATTGAAAATTATCTTCAATATACATTTTTTTTTTTTTGAGATTGAGTCTCACTCTGTCACCCAAGCTGGAGTACAGTGGTGTAATTTTGGCTCACTGCAACTGCCACCTCCCAGGTTCAAATGATTCTCCCACCTCAGCGTCCCGAGTAGCGGGGGTTACAAGTGTATATTTTTTTGTAGAGATGGGCTTTCACCATGTTAGCCAGGCTGGTCTCAAACTCCTGACCTCAACTGATCTGCCTGCCTTGACCTCCCGAAGTGCTGGCAGTACAGGCCCGAGCCACTGAGCCTGGCCTACATCATCCTTTTAGAGATTTTGATGACTTTCCTCTTATGATACAAATTGTAATGTTGAAATCAGAGAACATATATATATATTATATATAACATATCTATTCTATATATATTATAGCATGCATAGTATATGTATATTGCATATATATATATATATATATATAATGCTAAAAAATTTGGCCCAAAGTAAAATTTATTTGTCAAATTGTTCTACTGATAAAAGTTTACCCAACCAAATAAACCAAGCATCAATTTAAAATAAAGTAAATTGAGGTGGGCAGATCACCTGAGGTCAGGAGTTCAAGACCAGCCTGGCCAACATGGTGAAACATTGTCACTACTAAAAATACAAAAATTAGCTGGGCTTGGTGGCAGGTGCCTATAATCCCAGCTACATTGGAGGCTGAGGCAGAAGAATCACTTGAAACCAGGAGGTGGAGGTTGCAGTAAGCAGAGATCGCACCACTGCACTCCAGCCTGGGCAACAGTGCAAGACTCCATCTCAAAAAAGTATATAAATAAAAAATAAATAAAGGAAATAAGCTAAAGGAAAAGGCTGTAGAAAAAATTGTTTTTATAGGATTTATCATTATTGGCTTCATGAATAAATAGCATATTAAATGGTGGGTTAATATTTGACCCATATAACCAAAATATTAGTCAGTGCATTTTATCTATTTTTTTACTGTGGGCAGTGGTTAATAATGCCTGTTAGCTCTGTCAGCAAATGATACATTTCCTATATAAGTTAAGAAAAAGGTATAAATCATAACAATAATAAATCTTTGAGTGCTTACTGTTTAGGCACTGTGTTAATATGTATTATAGATATATGCATACACGCACACATATTCACGTAATGTACACAGCAGTCCTACATAAGGACTCAGCCGGGCATGGTGGCTCACTCCTGTAATCCTGGTCCTTTGAGTGGCTGAGGCAGGTGGATCACCTGATGTTGGGAGTTTGAGACCAGCCTGGTCAATGTGGTGAAACTCCATCTCTACTGGAAATACAAAAATGAGCTGGGTGTGGTAGCGTGCACTTGTAATCCCAGCTACTAGGGAGGGTGAGGCAGGAGAATCACTTGAACCTGGGAGGCGGAGGTTGCAGTGAGCTGAGATCATGCCACTGCACTCAAGGCTGGGCAACAACAGGGATACTCCATCTCAATAAAAAAAAAAAAAAGGAAAGACTCATTCCCATTTTACAAATGAGAAAACTATGACACAAAGAAGGTAAGAAACTTTCCCAAAGTCACTGAGTAGTCTGATCTCAGACCCTAAGCCCTTAACTCTATCTACTGTTCTCTTTCTGAAAATAAGCATTTTAAATGCTTCTTATTGGCAACTTTGCATGTACCTGTTTGTGTCCCTTTAGCTGCTGTTGGCAGTTTTCTCAGTTTCCTGCTTATATTCCTTTGGCTGTGTCTTCTGGGTACATTTTTTTGAATAAGTTTTCTTTTGGATAAAAAAAGATGCATGACATTAACAAAAACTTTTTAAAATATTTTGATTATCTTTATTTCTATGCTTCATATATTATACATCTTCTAACAGTTATACATTAAAAATAACACCATGTCTAATTATAGGAAGTGAAATCTAAATATTCTTTTACATATTGTAAATTTTAAATTAACATTCTTTCATAATAATTTATTCATCAAAGGCCGGGCGTGGTGGTTCACGCCTATAATCCCAGCACTTTGGGAGGCCAAAGCGGGTGGATCACGAGGTCAAGAGATCGAGACCATCCTGGTCAACATGGTGAAACCCTGTCTCTACTAAAAATACAAAACATTAGCTGGGCATGGTGGCACGTGCCTGTAATCCCAGCTGCTCAGGAGGCTGAGGCAGGAGGCGGAGGTTGCGGTGAGCCAAGATTGTGCTATTGCACTCCAGCCTGGATAACAAGAGCGAAACTCCGTCTCAAAAAAAAAAAAAAAAAATTAGCTGGGCATGGTGGTGCGCGCCTGTAGTCCCAGCTACTCAGGAGGCTGAGGCAGGAGAATTGCCTGAATCCAGAAGGCGGAGGTTGCAGTGAGCCGAGATCGTGCCATTGCACTCCAGTCTGGGTAACAACAGTGAAACTCCATCTCAAAAAATAAATAAGTAAATAAATAAATAAAATAATTTATTCATCAAGAAACAGAAAAATATGTCTTAAATGTAACAACAACAGAAAACTAAAAATGACAATATACTAAATATCCAATATTGAATTAATTCCAGTAGTTAAAGCCAATCAAAATACCACTGGGGCAAAATCAAGACAAATGACAGATTGAGGAAACAATTTTTCAACTCATGTAGTAAAGGCTGATCTCTCTACAGTATGTTTTAAAGTTTGCCTATAAAGCGATAGATCAATAAGCCAATATAAAAATGGGCAATGGTGAGGAATGAATAGGCCACCAAAAAAAGGGCTGTTAAAATCATATGAGAGAAACCATTGAGAAAGTGAAAAGATAAGCCACAGACAAGGAGAAAAGATTGGCCTCACACTCATCTAATAAAAGACTTGCAACCTGAATGTGTATCTTACAACTAGATAATAAGAAGGTAAACACTCTAACTTAAAAAAATAGTGGACAAAATATCTTAACAGTTGCTTCACCAAAGAAGATATCTAATAAGTACATGGTACGAGACTCAGTATCATTAATCATTAGGGACATGTAAATTAAAACCACAGTGAGACCCCACTACACACCTACTAGCAGGGTTAAAATGAAATAAACTTTTAATAGGTAGGTTTGGTGAGGATGGGGAGCAATTGAAACTTTCATACATTGCTGGTCGCAATGTAAAATGGTACAACCACTCTAGAAAAGAGTTGAGCAGCTTCTAAGTTAAATATACTTTTACCACACAAACCAGCTATTCAACCGCTTAGGTATTTACCTGTGATAACTGAAAACATGTTCACCCAGAGACCTGCACACAAATGTTCCTAACTACCTTTTTGTTAAAATTATCTGAACATTTTTATTTTTAATTTTTTTTTCAGTTTCATTGTGGTATAATTGACAAATAAGAATGGTACAGTCAGATGCTACATAACAACATTCTGGCCAATGACAGACTACATGTACAATGGTAGTCCCCTAAGATATACCATATTTTACTATACCTTTTCTATTTTTTTTTTTTTTTTTTAATTGAGATGAAGTCTCACTCTGTCACCCAGGCTGGAGTGCAATGGCACAATCTTGGCTCACTGCAACCTCCTCTTCCAGGTTCAGGTAATTCTTGTGCCTCAGCCTCCTGAGTAGCTGCGACTACAGGTGGATACCACCATGCCAGGCTAATTTTTCTGTTTCTACTAGAGACAGCGTTTCACCATGTTGGCCAGGCTGATCTCGAACTCCTGACCTCAGGTGATCTGCCCACTTCAGCCTCCCAAAGTGCTGGGATTACAGACCCAGCCTACCTTTTCTATGTTTAGATACACAAATGCCACTTGTTACAACTGCCTAGAGTATTAAGTATGGTAACATGCTGTTCAAGTTGGTAGCCTGGAAGCAGTAGGTTCTACCACATAGCGAGGTGTGCAGTAGTCTGTACCATCCAAGTATACCTAAGTATACTCCATGATATTTGCACAATGACAAAATTGCCTAATTATGCATTTCTCAGAACGTACCTCCATTGTTAAGCAACACATGACTTATATATATTTAAGGTGTTCAACTTGTTTTTCATAGCAGCCTTCTTCATAATAGCATTTCATACATTTCTGGTGGCAATGGCAAATGGTACAACCATTTGAATACTAGAAACTGCACCAATAGCATTAACTGGTGAGTGGATAAACATATTATTGTACATCCATACAAAGGAATACGACTCAGAAATAGCCAGGAACAAACTACTAATATATGCAACAGCATGGTGATTTTCGGAAGTCAGACTCAAAAGGCTACAGAATGTAGGATTCCACTTATACAACATTCTATAAAAGTCAAAACTGTAGGGACAGAAAACAGGTGAGCACTTGCTTTGGGTGGGAGGGAGGGACTGACTACAGAAGGGCCTAGGGAACCTTTTGGGGTTCTAGAAATGTTCTGCATCTCAGTAGCAGTGGTAGCTATATAACTGGATTTGTTAAAACTCATCCAATTATGCACTTTTATTTTTATTTATTTATTTATTGCATTTTAGGTTTTGGGGTATGTGTGCAGAACATGCAAGATAGTTGCATAGGTACACACATGGCAGTGTGTTCTGCTGCCTTCCTCCCCTTCACCCACATTTGGCATTTCTCCCCAGGGTATCCCTCCCCAGCTCCCCCCCGCTGCTGGCCCTCCACTATTCCCCCCAATAGACCCCAGTTTGTAGTACTCCCCTCCCTGTGTCCATGTGTTCTCATTTTTCATCACCTGCCTATGAGTGAGAATATGCAGTATTTCATTTTCTGTTTTTGTGTCAGTTTGCTGAGAATGATGTTCTCCAGATTCATCCATGTCCCTACAAAGGACATGAACTCATGGTTTTTGATTGCTGCATAATATTCCCTGGTGTATATGTGCCACATTTTCCCAGTCCAGTCTATCATCGATGGGCATTTGGGTTGGTTCCAGGTCTTTGCTATTGTAAACAGTGCTGCAATGAACATTCGTGTGCATGTGTCCTTATAGTAGAATGATTTATAGTCCTTTGGATATATACCCAGTAATGGGATTGTTGGGTCAAATGGAATTTCTATTTCTAAGGTCTTGAGGAATCGCCACACTGTCTTCCACAATGGTTGAACTAATTTACACTCCCACCAACAGTGTAAAAGTGTTCCTATTTCTCCACATTCTCTCCAGCATCTGTTGTCTCCAGATTTTTTAATGATTGCCATTCTAACTGGCATGAGATGGTATCTCAGTGTTGTTTTGATTTGCATCTCTCTAATGACCAGTGATGATGAGCATTTTTTCATATGTTTCTTGGCCTCATATATGTCTTCTTTTGTAAAGTGTCTGTTCATATCCTTTGCCCATTTTTGAATGGGCTTGTTTTTTTTTCCTGTAAATCTGTTTGAGTTCTTTGTAAATTCTGGATATCAGCCCTTTGTCAGATGGGCAAACTGCAAAGATTTTTTCCCATTCTGTTGGTTGCCAATTCACTCTAGTGACTGTTTCTTTTGCCGTGCAGAAGCTGTGGAGTTTCATTAGGTCCCATTTGTCTATTTTGGCTTTTGTTGCCAATGCTTTTGGTGTTTTGGTCATGAAGTCCTTACCTACTCCTATGTCCTGAATGGTTTTGCCTAGATTTTCTTCTAGGGTTTTTATGGTGCCAGGTCTTATGTTTAAGTCTTTAATCCATCTGGAGTTACTTTTAGTGTAAGGTGTCAGGAAGGGGTCCAGTTTCTGCTTTCTGCACATGGCTAACCAGTTTTCCCAACACCATTTATTAAACAGGGAATCCTTTCCCCATTGCTTGTTTTTGTCAGGTTTATCAAAGATTGTATGGTTGTAGATATGTTGTGTTGCCTCTGATGCCTCTGTTCTGTTCCATTGGTCTATATATCTGTTTTGGTACCAGTACCATGCTGTTTTGATTACTGTAGCCTTGTAGTATAGTTTGAAGTCCAGTAGTGTGATGCCTCCTGCTGTGTTCTTTTTGCTTAGAATTGACTTGGCTATGCGGGCTCGCTTTTGGTTCCATATAAAGTTCATGGTGGTTTTTTCCAGTTCTGTGAAGAAAGTCAATGGTAGCTTGACGGGGATAGCATTGATTCTGTAAATTACTTTGGGCAGTATAGCCATTTTCACGATATTAATTCTTCCTAACCATGAACATGGAATGTTTCTCCATCTGTTTGTGTCCTCTCTGATTTCGTTGAGCAGTGGTTTGTAGTTCTCCTTGAAGAGGTCTCTTACGTTCCTCGTGAGTTGTATTCCAAGGTATTTTATTCTTTTTGTAGCAATTGCGAATGGCAGTTCGTTCTTGATTTGGCTTTCTTTAAGTCTGTTATTGGTGTAGACGAATGCTTGTGATTTTTGCACATTGATTTTATATCCTGAGACTTTGCTGAAGTTGCTTATCAGTTTCAGGAGTTTTTGGGCTGAGGCGATGGGGTCTTCTAGGTATACTATCATGTTGTCTGCAAATAGAGACAATTTGGCTTCCACCTTTCCTATTTGAATACCCTTTATTTCTTTTTCTTGCCTGATTGCTCTGGCTAGAACTTCCAGTACTATATTGAATAGGAGTGGTGAAAGAGGGCATCCTTGTCTAGTGCCAGATTTCAAAGGGAATGCTTCCAGTTTTTGCCCATTCAGTATGATATTGGCTGTTGGTTTGTCATAAATAGCTTTTATTACTTTGAGATACGTTCCATCGATACCGAGTTTCTTGAGGGTTTTTAGCATAAAGGGCTGTTGAATTTTGTCAAATGCCTTCTCTGCGTCAATTGAGATAATCATGTGGTTTTTGTTTTTGGTTCTGTTTATGTGGTGAATTACGTTTATAGACTTGCGTATGTTGAACCAGCCTTGCATCCCCGGGATGAATCCTACTTGATCATGATGGATAAGTTTTTTGATGTGCTGTTGCAATCGGCTTGCCAGTATTTTACTGAAGATTCAATTATGCACTTTTAAAGGGTGAATTGTGTGTGCATATTAACCACATAATCTTAAAATAAATTTTATTAAGCATTGTGAAGTTATAAGGAAATCATGATTTTTTAAAATCACACATGATGCTGGATGCAGTGGCTCACGCCTGTAATCCTAGCACTTTGGGAGGCTGAGGCAGGTGGATCACTTGAGGTCAGTTTGAGACCAGCCTGGCCAACACGGTGAAACCCCATCTCTACTAAAAATACAAAAATTAGCTAGGTGTGGTGGCACATGTCTGCAATCCCAAGTACTCAGTAGGCTGAGGCAGGAGAATCGCTTGAACCCAGCGGGGCGGCGCTTGTAGTGAGCCGAGATTGTACCACTACACTGCAGCCTGGGCAAAAGAGTGAAACTTCATCTCAAAAAAAAAAAAAGTCACACATTGAAAAGATGGTTTTCTTTTCTCTCCTACCCCTACAGGCAACATTTCATACACCATTTAGTCACCTAGGCCAAAGTCCAGAAGGATGCTCCTCTTACACTTTTCTGAAGATAATGGGCCCAGCCAAGGTAACTTTTGCAATGTTTAAAAATAAAACTTTAATGTGTCATCTCAAGAATGAAGGAAGAGTAATCTCATATATTCTCCCTTCTCTCCCTAATATGGACAAAAGATAAGCGAATTATTTGCTCTTCAACTCTAAGAGTTTTACCTGTGGAGGAATCAGGCTATGGGAAGTATCTGCTCTGCAGGAAAATTAGAATTTATCTCTGCAACTCCCAGAACTAGGATCCTTCTCCCAGCTGACTGCTTAGTGCTAGCTGCATTGCAAGCAGCACACTTCAGCCTTGCAGCTGTGTGGCATTAGTCACTTGAAGGATCAGGGCTGTGCCAGTCTCCCTTGGTCCCCTGAGTTTGGAGGCCACTTGGTTCCTTTATGGATAACCAGTGTCCCCTAAGGATTGATATGATAACACCTTCACTTTCAGAGTTATAGTATCAGCAGATGAGAAACTTCATGGGGGCTCACCGCTGCCAGAGCCACTCCCAATCGCAGCTGCCCTTCCATCAGCCTGCTTCACTGGTGTATCAGCTCCCAGGCTGGTTAAGTGGCTGCTCAGATCTTTCACTGTGTTTCCTAGTTGCCCATACCCTGTGGCATGACTCGAAGGGGATTGTGACAAGACTAGAAGCTGAGAGGGGCTTAGCAAATATTCTTCAAGATCTCAAAGTAGGGCAGTGGGAATTGAGCCTGTTTTCATTGCCTACTAGGATTTTGTAAAAAACATGTATATGTATGTTTTTAACCTCATTAGGCTATCATCTACCCTGAATTGAACTTGGGAAAAGGGCGGAACTAATTCTAAAAGTCTTAGAGCATTTGGCTTATTAGCGCATTCCTTGGCTGGGCACAATGGCCCACGCATGTAATCCTAGCACTTCGGGAGGCCAAGGCCAGAGAATCACTTGAGGTCAGGAATTTAAGACCATCCTGACCAACATGGTGAAACCCCATTTCTACTAAAAATACAAAAAATTAGCCGGGCATGGTGATGTGTTCCTGTAATTCCAGCTACCCAGGAGGCTGAGGCAGGAGAACCACTTGAACCCAGGAGGGAAAGGTTTCAGTGAGCTGAGATCACGCTATTGCACTCCAGCCTGGGTGAAAGAGTGAGGTTCCGTCTCAAAAAAAACCAAAAAACAAAACTTAGCCAGGTGTGGTGACAGGCACTTGTAATCGCAGGTACTCAAGAGGCTGAGGCACGAGAATCATTTGAACCCAGGAGGCAGAGGTTGTAGTGAGCCGAGATTGTGCCTCTGCACTCCAGCCTGGGCAACAGAGCAAGACTCTGTCTCAAAAAAAAAAAAAAAAAAAAAAAAGTGTTTCTCTTCTGGAGGAGAAATTGCAAATGTAGAGAGGATATCCACTTAGTGTCCTCAGTTTTTCTGGAAGCTAACTATAAGTCTTTGCTTTCCTTCAGTCAAATAGAACTAATTTGAGTACCAATGCAGGTGAAGAAAACTCTCAGAGCCAGATCACTGGGTAGAGTTTCTAGGGAATGGAATTTCGAAAGTTTCTAAAGATTAACTCAATGATCGTGATTTTTATTTCCTTTTTTCCTCTTTAAAATAAGAGTTTATAGTGTATAAAATGGAAAAATCATAGTTGCTGTGGATTATAGAATCAAGCATCTGCTTCAGGTCCTTTCTCCCGTGGGCCCCCTAGTCTTGCCTCTCCAGCAACGACACACGCAGAAGCAGCAGCCCTTAACAGACCTTCCAGGGAGCCTGCAACAGTCTCAGCACACAGTTTATAAACGATTGCCTATTGAGGCTGTCAGCTTCTCCCTTACTGAGAAATAACAGCAACCTCAAAAGACCTTTAATAAATCTCTCTGTGCCTCCTGAAAGCAGGTAACTGAAGCCTTGTTTTATTAAGTTAATATCTTAACCTTGCTTCCTGCTTTTCATTTCAGGCGACAGAGATGCTTGTTTTTGGAAAGAAGCTAACAGCAGGAGAAGCATGTGCTCAAGGACTTGTCACTGAAGTTTTTCCCGACAGCACTTTTCAGAAAGAAGTCTGGACCAGGCTGAAGGCATTTGCAAAGCTTCCTCCAAATGTTAGTATTCATCTTTTACTTTTAAGAACCTTGAAAATAATTTCCTAAGGGAAAAATTTATTTGCCTTCAGAGAATAAGTCATAAAAACACAAGACAGGTCGGGCGTGGCAGCTCACGCCTGTAATCCCAGCACTTTGGGAGGCCGAGGCAGGCGGATCACCTGAGGTCGGGAGTTCGAGAGCAGCCTGACCAACATGGTGAAACCCTGTCTCAAAAAAAAAAAAACCACAAGACACATCTTTAGTTAGCTTTAAGCACATCTAAATTTGGAATTAAAAAATAACTGTAGTAATGTAAATGTAGTAATGTATTTTTTTTGTAAAAATACAGTACTGATTTTTACAAAACTTACCAAATATACCTTCCATTTCTGTGTGGGGACAGAGGGGCACTTCTCTATGGGGGTTACTTGAGCAGGATGCTAGGCAGTATTTGCTGAGCGCTGTCACTTTGGAATCAGGTGAGAAGCCAGGCAGGTTAGCTACTTTACCAGAGTCTTACTGTATAGCATTTTTGTTTTTATATGTAGTAGCAAGTGACTGATTGCTTTTATATTCTTGCTATTCAAAATGTAGTCCTAGAACCAGAAGCTTGAGCAGCTACCTGGGGCTTTTAGGAAATGTATTATCACAGGCCTGCCCCACACTCACTGAAGTGATTTATATGTACACTGAAGTTTGAGAAGCACTGTCTTATATTACAAACATGGCTTAAGATTTAACAGGATTAGGGGCCAGCACAGTGGCTCACACTTGTAATCCGAACACTTTGGGAGGCCAAGGCAGGCAGATCACCTGAGGTCAGGAGTTCAAGACCAGCCTGGCCAATATCACAAAACCCCATCTCTACTAAACAAAATACAAAAATTAGCTTGGTGTGGTGGTGGGTGCCTGTATTCCCAGCTACTCAGGAGACTGAGACAGGGAGAATTGTTTGAACCAGAGAGGCAGAGGTTACAGTGAGCCAAGATCGTACCACTGCACCTGGGCAACAGAGTGAGACTGTATCTTAGAAAAATAAAAAAGAGTTAACAGGAGTAGTTAAATGAACATGGGAGAAACAAGAACCAGAATCATGCAATAATCCCACTCCTATTAGATTAACTTTTTTTTTTTTTTTTTGAGACAGAGTCTTGTTCTTGTCACCCAGGCTAGAGTGTAATGGCATGATCTCAGCTCACTGCAACCCCTGCCTCCAGGGTTCAAGCAATTCTGCTGACTCAGCCTCCTGAGTAGCTGGGATCACAGGCATACACCACCACATCAGGCTAATTTTTTTTTATTTTTAGTAGAGATGGGGTCTCACCATGTTGGCCAGGCTGGTCTCGAACTCCTGACCTCAGCCTCCCAAAGTGCTGGTATTACAGCATGAGCCACCACACCCAGCCTAGATTAACTCCTAACTTTATTGTTGCTTTTATTTTTCCAGGCCATGAGAATTTCAAAAGAGGTAATCAGGAATAGAGAGAAAGAAAAACTACACGCTGTTAATGCTGAAGAATGCAGTGTCCTTCAGGAAAGATGGCTGTCGGACGAATGCATGAATGCAGTGGTGAACTTCTTATCCAGAAAATCCAATCTGTAATGACTACTATAACAGAGTAAAGCAAGTCCAAGGAAGGATGTGCTGTTTCTTCTGATTTCCAGTACTTGAACTAAATAAGCTTCCTTGTGCCTTTTGCAGCGCTAAAATGTCAATTACAATGATGATGTTTCACTATAGCCCTGATGAATAAAAAATTTTGTAAAACAAGCTTAAGAATTCACATAGGTTTTTGGTAAGAGTCTTACATCTTTTGACATGAATTGTTGTTGCCAGGAACACTGGAACATGTTGCCTGGGATCCTACTTTGAAAAGCACTCACAGCATTACAGGCTGAAGTCATGTCTTTGAATGTCACTATAGCACTTTGACGTCCACAAACAGTGACTGACTGAATTGGGCCAAATGCTGACAGCCTACAGATCACTGACTTGAGGTCTTCAGTGGGTTGCATGTTCTTTTTCAGCCATCTAGCAAGGGAGCAAAATGGAAGGAATTGTATTACTAGAAAACAAATAATCTTAGTTTAGTTTTTTTTTTTTTTGTACAATTTTATACAGAGGCATGAAGGGAAAACAGGGTCATTTCATTGGAAAGCAATGTTCTGTATCAGTAATTGTTTTCTTATTTGTTAGAGAGTCCCAGTCTTGTCTAATGTGGTACTTAATGAACATCATACCTGCAAGCTGCCTTGATTGTCCTTGCAGCATCCTGTTTTGATTAATGTCATAGCTATCACTTGACAAGGACTGAGGGTGTAATTCCAAGGGCTACAGAAAAGGATGGGATATTTTGCTTTTCCAAACACTGGTCTTCCTTTTGACCTTTCCTTCAAGATCAAAATTAGCTAACTCACCAAATCTCTAACTTTTTAGTTCTAATTTTTTTTTTTTTTTTTTTTGAGATGAAGTCTTACTCTGTCACCCAGGCTGGAGTGCAGTGGCGCAATCTTGGCTCACTGCAATCTCTGCCTCCTGGGTTCAAACGATTTTCCTGCCTCAGCCTCCTGAGTAGATGGGAATACAGGCACGTGCCACCACCCCTGGCTAATTTTTTTATTTTTAGTAGAGACATGGTTTCACCATGTTGGCCAGGCTGATCTTGAACTCCTGACCTAAGGTGATCTGCCCGCCTCAGCCTCCCAAAGTGCTGGGATTACAGGTGGGAGCCACCGCTCCCAGCTAGTTCTAAATTTTTTATTCCAGTAATTGTAATCCAAAATGATTAGTTTTATAGAAAATATAGGAATAGAAATAAGCATTAGTTTTGATTGAGCAGTTACTAGTGCTTAATGCCCATGATCATATTTTATCCACCAAAAACTGCCAAAAATTAAAAATGAGGTAGGTCTGTTGCTACTAACCATTTTCAAGTAGGCATTCCAAGGCATGGAGATTAAAGTAGCTTATCCAGAACTCCCAGTAAATGTCAAAATGAAGATAAAAATGCAGGCAGAGTTCTCCTTCCACAATGGCAGCACAAGCCAACTACTGCCCATTGCTCCTACTAATTACAGCTACAATCTCTAGATGAAATATGAAAAAGAACTACTTGAGCATGCTGAAATTAATCAAAAACTGGTGGATTATGGAAAGGTGTCAAAATACACAGAAACAACTGCACAAGGTCCCAGATTATGAGAAATAAACACAATTGCTGGAATCTATCTCCTGAGCATGGTATTAGAAGTAATGGCAAAAACTGCAATTACTTTAGCATTAAACTAATATTTTGGCCCCAAAGGCACACCCCTATCGTGGCTCAGTGCTGCGATGACCATGGAGTGGCCAGCCAAATAGAAGTTGAGGAAAACTATACCTTGAAATAAAAAAGGCCCTCGGGGCTAAAGAGTGAAAGCAAGAAGACAATTCCAGAGCAGAGAGGAAAAAGTTCTAATTCTGCGTATGAACCCATACAAGTCTGATTCCTGAGTGAGACAGACTCAAACCAGCATAGCAAACGCTTTGCGAAGTATACTGGGATTATAACCACCACCCACAGAAGAGCAAGACAGCTTACAGACTGAACCTAACCAGATGTATTACTTGCTAAAACAAAAACAGCATTTTCCAGATGATCGTAACATGATCCACAAAAACATAACTTCCATCCAATGCCACAATATAGTAAATATTATACCGTGTGGATCCTGAGATCCCTGTCCAGTTACTTCTCTATTATGTCATATGGATCATAATATTTGCAACATTGTGTGACATACAAAAAAAACAAACATGGAAATCTGAATGCTTGGGTGAAACAGACAATCAGCACATGTCAATCCTGTGATGACCTGGACTTTGGTATTGTCACACACAGTCTTTAGTTCTTATAACTACATTCCACGAGGTAAAGAAAAATACACTAGAAATGATTTTAAAATACATAATTTTCATCGCTTCTCGGCCTTTTGGCTAAGATCAAGTGTAAAATATATGAATTTTCAGCAGAGAAACAACTATTGAAAAGATAACAGAAAATTTAGAACTAAAACTGTAAAAAATAAAAATTCACTGAAGAGAGACTCACTAGATGCAAACTAGATGAAAAAGGAAGGAGTCAATGAACCTTGAAGATATATCAGTAGGATTTAATATGAGGAACAGAGGAAAGGAAATACAAGGAAAAAATGAATAAATAGTGATATCAGCAAGATGACAGAGGAATTTCTAGGCCCTCATACTCCCATGGAAACATCAAATACAAGTATGGACTAACTAGAATAACTATGAGTTCTGAAACTTAGTCAAACATTTGAATGCCCAATAAGAAAGTCACCTTAAAATGTTAGGAATGTTTGTAATATTTGCTCTTGTCCACTTCCCTGTGTGGTGCAGTCAGAAGCGATTGGCTCAATCCCCTGTTCCCTCCCTCAGGGCATAAAAAGCAGAGCGAAACTCGTTGCAATATCCTGACCTGTCTGTGGGCTGCCTAGGGCACTGGTGTCTGTAATGCCCAACTCAGATATCAGACAGGAAACAGCAACATAGTTTTGATTTCAGGCTGAAAGCCACAGAAGGCTGTGGTGAGCAATGCAGCACATGAAAACTACACAGGGATTGCTGACCTGTGGACTTCTGAGGGCAGCAGATTACAAATAGAGAAATACAATAGAATATCTAAGGCCCTAAGAAGAAGCTGCAGTGAGACTCTTTAGGAAATTAAGACCTTTAAAATCACCTGTGGTGGATAGGGGGCACACACACACATTCACAGAAAGGAAGCATGCCTAGAAAAGACCTGAGAAGACCTGGACTAATCTCATATTAGTGAGGGTCTCATGGGCTCACAAATTAGTGAGGTCTTACATGCCAGTCTGCAAAGACTGGGCGAGTGGCCATATTTTTTTAAATACCCAATTTTCCAAAAAAGATCATAAGGCATGCAAACAACCAGGGAAAGGTGGCTCATTCAAATGAACAAAATACATCTTCAGAAACAGTTCTGGAGATGTATTTTGGCATCAGGCTTACTAGACAAAGACTTTAATTGTCAGCCAGGTGCAATGGCTCATGCCTGTAATCCCAGCACTTTGGGAAGCCAAGGTAGGCAGATCACTTGAGGCCAAGGGTTTGAGACCAGTCTGGCCAAATGGTGAAACCCCATCTCTACTAAAATACAAAAAAATAGCTGGGCATGGTGTTGCATGCCTGTAATCCCTGCTACTCAGGAGGCTGAGGCATGAGAATCACTGGAACCCAGGAGGCAGAGGTTGCAGTGAGCCAAAATCACACGACTGCACTCCAACCTGGGCAACAGAGTGAGCCTCTGTCTCAACAACAACAAACAACAACAACAAAAAAAAAAATCCCTCAACTGTCAAATATACTACCAGAACTAAAGAAAAATACAAACAAAGAACCAAAGAAAGCTAAGAAAACATATGAACAAAATGAGAATATCAACAAAGATAGAAATTATTTAAAAAAGAAATTATTGAGCTGAAAAATATAATAACTGATTTGAAAATTTTATTAGAGGAGTTCAGCAGTAAACTCACACAGAAAAAAGAATAAGCAAATTTGAAAACAACTCATTTGAAATTATTGAATTTGAGAAGCATATCGAAGAAAATATAAAGTGAGCAGAGGCTTAGGGATTTATGGGATGCCATCATGCTGACCAATATATGCATAATGAGAGTCCCAGAAGAAGGTAAGAAAAAGGAGAAGAGAGACTATTTGAATAAATAGAAGCTGAAAACCTATTTGAATAAATAGAAGCTGAAAGACATGGATATACAAATCCAAGCTCAATGGTCTCCAAGTAGGGCGAACCTCTTACACCCACACAAAGACACATAATCAAATCTGGCAAAAGTTCAAGATAAAGAGAATCTTGAAGGCATCAAGAGAAAAGTGACTCATTATTATAAGAGATCTGCAATAAGATTATCAGTGTCTTTATTCAGCAAGAACCTTGGAGACTAGCAGTGGAGTGGTATATTTAAAGTGCTAAAAATTAAAAATAAAAATTTGTCAACAGAGAATTCTATACCTGGCAAATGTTTCTTCCAAAATGAGGGAGAAATTGAGACATTCCTAGAAAAACAAAAGCTGAGGGAGTTTATTATTACTACACCTGCCCTACAAGAATGTTAAAGGAAGTCCTTCAGTTTGAAATTAAATAATGCTAGATAGTAACTGGAAGACATATGAAAATATAAAGTTCTCCAGTAAAGGTAAATATAAGAACAAATATAAAAACAGTATTAATGTAATTTTGTTTATAACTCCACTTTTGATTTTCTACACGATTTAAAAGACAATTGCATAGAAATAATTATGAACTTATGTTAATGAGTATATAATATTAAAAGGTATTTGTGACATCAATAACATGAAGGGAGAAGAGCTATAAGGAAGCAGAGTTTTTATATGCAATTAAAGTTGAATTGGTATCAATTAAGATAGATCATCATAACTTTAGAATGTTATATGTAATGTTCATGGTAAGCACCAAGAAAATATACACAAGCAGAAATGAGAAAGGAGTCAAAATGTGGTATTTCAACAACTTCAACTAAATATAAAGGAAGGAAGGCAGTATTCAAGGAAATGAGGGAGAAAAAGGCTGTGAGGCACAGAGAAAACAACAAAATTGCAAAAGTAATCCTTATCAGCAATTACTTTAAATGTAATTGTATTGAAAACATCAAAAATCATAAGTTGGCAGAGTGGATATAAAACTAGGATCAACCATATACAGTCTAAAGGAGTCTCACTTTAGATCTAAGGACATGAATATGGTGAAAGTAAAAGGATTAAGATATTCCATGCCAACAGTAATAAAAAGAGAGCAGAAATGGCTACACTAACTGACAAAACAGACTTTAAGTCAAAAACTGTTAAAAGAGACAAAGACATAATATAATGATAAAAGGCTCAATTTACCAGGAAGATATGACAATTATAAAAATATGCTCTAAATAGTAGAGCTCCAAAATATATGAAGCAAACACTGACAGAAT